GTTAAAGCTTTGGAATAAGCGTAAACCCGTTGTTAAGTACATTAGAAAGGTTTTGAACCTGATCTTATCTTCCGACGCTGAGGATAGTGGGGACATTGAGGGCGGTGGGGACACTGAGGATAGTGAGGACAATTATTCATTGGATGGGCCAATCATCAAAAATTTCAACAATCAATCACCTGATTCGAAACACGGATATTCGTGACTACCCATAACGCGGTCGCAACCCTGGAGCCCAGTTGCAGTGGAGAATGGTAGCATCTTTAGAACGTCGAATCCACCTGATCTTAGATCTATAGCTACTTTAATTAAATAGGGAAGTGGACCAAACTTTTATGTAGAGCGTTATTCTTCATAGTCTTTTTATTAGTTCATTATTGTTACTCTTGCAACAATTTGGGGGTTGATGAATCTAAAAAAATGTCACTTTCTGGAATACAACTTGTATTCATTTATTTGATCCAAGAGTCACTCCTTACACCTTCAGGACATTCTTTGGCTAATGTTGGCTAATGTACTTAGGACATAGTTAATATTGTTCTTATTTGGTTAATGGTTTACTGTCTTGGGTTAGTTCTCAATGTATTACGTCTCTTGTTTTCTTTGTCACATACCCTTGGAATAAACATTATAAGAATGCTTGTATATTTGTTTATGAGTAATTTTTTTTATGTGGAGGGTAGTGAATAGTGGATGCTCCCGGCATATGATATGATCAAAGTCTAACAATCATGTTCTTCAAGTGACCCTATGATCATATATATGTTATAAACTACAATACAATTCTTTAAATCATATATGATTAATATATGTTGTAATCATAAATGTTTTAGTCATATATGTTTAAAATCACATATGATTTATATATGTTATAATCATAAATCTTATGTACATTTACATTTTATTTTATAGTTTTTTAAATCATATATTATTAGTATTTGTTGTAATAATAATTGTTTATCTTGTTAATGACAAGTTCTATTGTTTGATAATGTCTTTTACAAGCGATAATGTGAATTTCTTTAAAAATGAAGATCAAATTAATATTGAAGATGTTAATGAAGACGTTGAACATTCAAGTCATCAAATCCAAAACTACATGGATAAAGATTTTTAACATTCAAGTCATCAAATCCAAAACTTTAGTGTTTCAGGTAAAAATAAATACTTATTTAATCTATTATGATTATATAAGCAAGTTTTTTTTTTTATTATTAATTAATGATTTTTAGAATTGAATATATATCAATCTATGTAATGTAAAATCACATGTGATTGATAATGAATTCCTTATATGATCATATGTGATTAATAATGAATTCCTAAAATATATAAATTCAAACATAATTAGAAAACCATATATGATTAAAACAAAAGCATAAGATGTTCATAACAGATTTTAATCACATGTGATTGAATCTCTTTTGTCTATATAATAAAAATCACATATGATTAAAACAAGTCATGATAAATAAAGCATACAATATTTATAATAAAAGATATTCATTTATGATTTTTTTTTAAAAGCATAATATGGTTCAATACATATCGATGGAAGGCAAACGGACAACATGCTGCGCTGCTAGCCTTTCTAGATGGCAAAACTAATCCTTTTGAAAACAACAAATGTGGATCTAGGAGATATGACATTAGAGTGCATGACCCGTTGGACTCTGTTGAGGAGCTTCATCGCCTCTGATGCGAGAAAACCAAATGTGTCAAATGCAAAAGATACAAACACATATTGATTTTCTATACATGCATTCTCGTGTTATGCCACTTTGCACGCAACATCTTTCAAAGCGGCATGCCCTGTTGTGAAACCTCCGCTCATCAAACCGACGAGATGAAAGACCCCAATAAGATCCACACACGTGTGTTTCCCTCCTACTCATCCAAAGACCAAAATATCAGTCAGTGTAAGTGTGGATCTTCCATCCTACGGGTCCGTCAAAAAGTTCACTGACGCTTCTTTCTTCGCAGAAATACCAGCACGCCAACAAGAATCAAAGAGAACATCCCCAACCACATTATGTCTGTACTTGAAACCAGGGAACTCTCTACAAACTGCATGTTCCCTAAAGGTATCCAAACATGTCTTGCGGAAAACTGGGCATATCTCGTCAATTAGGAAGAGAGGAATCATGAGGCGGTAACGAAGGATAGTTCGATACTCATAGGAGACATATGCTGGCCAATGCCATCAATGGGGATAGTTAGCAGAAAATCCTGAACATGAGGTGCCCGAAGACACTCAAAAACTGCTTTCTGTCTAACAGTCATATCGAAGTCGACTTCCAAATCTTTGACGGTTTTGCTAAAAATGGCACACGTATATGCTTTTGGGGGGCGGTGTCTTTATTAGTGAAACTGCTAAAGTCAAATCTCGGAATCGTATCGCGAAGAAGAGTAATCAGAGTCCATACCACACATGTCACTGTCACGTAAGATATTGTCTTGTAATACCCAAGATTGGGCCCTCAAGGCTACAAATGCGTAGGAGGAAACCTCGAATGCTGAGTACAAACCCAAGCCACCGAAACGAATATGTAAGGAAGCCAAACACCATTGGATGTCTCTAAAGAAGGGGCCTCCACATACCACCATATCCTCGATAGACCTACGCAATCCTTTGTCAAATAATAAAGTTGTTTCTTGTATACGCACCAGCTGGCAAGTCCTTAAACCAAAGAAAAGTTTTGCAATGCCCATACATGATCGAAGCAAAAGGAGCTCACTCTGTGGGTCACATAGTTGTGGAAGAAGACCCATCAAATCAACAGCGTTGACCGCTCTCTTCATGGCTAACCCGTTAATAAACCTTGCGTCTCTGCCAATGCATTATACAAGTATGCATCCAAGTAACACATGCATTTCATAAGCTTCCACTTAGTCATGAAGAATATAACTAAATATCTAATGAACATAAATGGGTTCATGATGAATAGTAACTAAATATGTAATGAAATGTTGATAATGTTAACTATGCTCTTAACAAATATTAAGGGTATATAAATACAGAGGCCTGTGAATGATATTATCTGAAAAATATTAACAAAGTACCTAAAGAGTATCAATTGAATTCATTAATATTTACCTAGGAGTGTCATAATCTCAGAGTAACAGTAACAGTGTAAATGTTGATTCCTCGTTAGGGAGGTCGAATTGGAAGAAAGATTTACACCATGCTATTCACGGGTTTTTCCCGTAATTAAATGACTTAATTTTCTTTTTTGTCTTTGATTCTCAGATTAACTCATAACCTTATATTTTATGTTTTTTCCGGATTAAATCTCAAATTTATTTTTTGCCTAAAAAGTGATCTTGTATTTTTTCGACCAAATCTTTTTAGTGGTATAGTGGAGTGGAGTGGTGGGGGTGGTGGTGGTGGTGGGGATGATGGCGACGATTGTGGTGGTGATGTGTGGTAGTTGTGGTGATGGCAGGGTGGTGGTGGTGGTAGCGGTAATGGGGTAGTGTTGGTGGTGATGATGGCGACATATGTGGTGGTGGTGTGGTAGTGGTGGTGATGACGATGGTGATGGTGGTAGAATTAGGGTGTGTGTATATTTTATCTAAAAAATGGAATTAGAAAATTTTGGTAAAGAGTTTATTGAAATTTTGTAAATTCTTTGTCATTTTGGAAAATGAAAAATTTCCTTTAAAATTTAAAAAAAAAAAAAATTGTTGAACTAAATGCATTTTTTAAATTCGTATTTTTCTTGAAAAAAAATTTCAATTTCCGAAAAATGGTTCTTTTTTTTTTTTTTTTTGTAACTAAATGCATGATAGAGGCCCAGACGTTATAGGACCATCTTCTCCACAGGAGTCCACCAGGAAACCCAAACGAGTCATCAGGCTTCCAGCATCTAGTTCTTATTTACAGCACTATGATATCCCCTCTTTAAGTTTTCGTTAATATCACCCTGATTAAAATGTGAAGACTATCTGACTTTGATATTTTTTTTTTAGTTTACATCAAGCCAAACCTCATAAAATCTGGATTTAAAATTGTAAACCCTAAATTCAAACTGAAAAGCACAAAAAATTAAAATCATACCTTTTAAACAGGGAAATCGCGGCTGAATAATTTCAAAAACCATCGCCGATATTTCATGAACCAAATCCATCGAAAACAATACACATATATTGAAATCAACGATTCCAATCTCCACCTTCTTTAACCAACGACTACTATGATATGATTTGCAGAAATGAATAAGAAGTTGACAAAGGGCATAGAGAGTCGATTTGGTTATACAGTCCGACGCATTTAATAGAATCTGCCGTTAAAAAAAAAAACAAAAACAAAAACAAAACAATAGCAAATTACCATATTCACCTTGAGGGATCTAGAAAGTGGAAAGCTTGCTGAATGCTGATGCGAAATGCATGGTCAATTAATTCATTTTATGCAGTCAAAAAAACATGATCAACTTTTGGGCTGTTAGTGTTTTATTAATTTGGGTAATACATTGGTTAATTTTCTAAATTTATTGGTCCCCATTACCCTCTAAAACTAAATAAAACAATATTTTCATATTACGAATTATTTTCAATCAAATGGTACAAACTAAAAAAAAAAAAGTATTTTTAAATACTCCAAGGATATTGAATAGATTCCAAAACAATATTCAGAATTTTTTTTTTCTTTTCCTATTAAAGTTATATATCTATTTTTAACTGAATCCTACATTATCCCCCAAAATGCTAACAATTAAAAGGAATTGAGCCTCAATTAAGGGTGAAAGAAAAACAAAAGAGAAGGAGTAAAGTCGTTAAATGATACATTATTGTTACAAAATATTATCATGTCCATCCATCTGTTCTAATGTCTCATCATCATAATCATCGGGAAGCAAATGAAAAACAAATAAGAATCCAGAACATGAATCTTTTATAAATAAATACAAAAATTCCAATTTTCACGCCAAAATAGACAAGTCATTAAAAAAAAAAAATCACATCTTTGGATTCTAAGGAAGATTCATTACATCATATCATATAAACCTGTAGAGACAACCTTTTTGCAAAAAACAAAACAATCTTTCACCACACTATTCACATCACAGAAACCAATCTCAAAATCTCCACACCCAAAAAAAAAAACCCTATTAAAAAGAATTTTCTAACCTTCAACAATGACAATATCTCCAGGTGTCACATCCTCATTGGTCAATTCCTCAACCCCTGCAGCGTTCTTTTCAGCACCAACTTCTATCCAATCCTCAACCTCAAGAGGATTTACAGATGGGATTTGGACTGCTTCAAATTCCTCATTCCAAACTTGATCCTTTCCTTCATCTTCTGTTTTACCAGTATTTTCATTTGACTTTTCTGGTTTGACCATGGCTTTGGAAGGTGAGGTTTTTGCTTTGACTTTTCCAGTTGACTTTTCGGGTTTGACTACCTCTTTCTCATGGTTGACTTTACTTGATGATTCAGCCACAGCGCTCTTGTTTCTGCCCAGGTTTGGAGATTTTGGACGTGTGGGTGGCATCTACAAAGGGACAAAATAGTAATTTGACATGCAATACTCAGCCAAGGGTATCATAGTAATTTACATCATAAAAAGGTCTCTAGAAGGACAAACAGTGTCATTCTGTCTTCTTGTGCATACATATAGATGTGTAAAAACATAAAGGCTAGAAGAGCAAAAGTGCAAAACTCGGTCAAGGGCAAAACAGTAATTTACCTTCTTCAGTTCTACTTTCGGAGGGGGTTTTTTGTAAAACTTTGGCAGTGGGGCAGCTTTAAATGTTAAACTCTTCCTTAATTTCTTGATCTCGGCTTCTTGGCTTTCCTGCATAATTTGTAACCCCATGAGTTAAAAACATTGACTTGATTATAATTTCGTTGACTAATGAGTTCAAAGATTCTTTGACCTTTGACTTTTCTTGCAAATTAGTCTTCTCCATTTCCTTTGCATGAGTCTTTTCCTCCAACTTTGAATAGAACTAATGCACAAAGATTAAACTTTGTTGATTTTTATGTTATAAAAGAAAGGGTAAACATACAGGGGCAATATGGTAAAATCATTACCTCTCTTCGCTTTTCAGCACGTTCATCCAACCTGAAAGAAAAGCCGGATGCAATGTTCCTATGTTGCCCTCTGTGTTGTGATATCATAAAATAAAATTTTAAAGAATAATCAAGTTCTTGAAATCAAGAAAAGAGAAGTTTTTTTTTTTTTTAAATGAAATTTAATCAAAAAGCAGAGAATAATACGATGAGGTAGAGGAACGAGTGTCATCATCTTCTCTAACTGCGGTTTTGATTGGTTTTGAATGTTGATTAACTGATCTGCAATTGCAAAACAGCCTCAAAAATTAATCAGGGTTATGTAGGTCATTTCAAGATTTGTGAACTTTGTTTCATAATGTTTAGTTGTAAGGTTAGTTATGAACATTGAGATGATGTGTTTACTTAAAAGTCCATTAATCTATCTTGCTTGACACATGAAGGAAGATTAAATATTCCATAACATACAAGGGTAAAACCGTAAAAATAGAATAAATCTATAGAATGCAATATTCCATCGCTAAGGCAATGTGCAAAACCTTGAATAACTAACTTGGAGTGATTTAATAATACACTTCCTTAGATACCCTTAATATATTATCTGATCATAAGGAAGAAAGTTTAAATCTTGCATTACTTAAAAGGGTAAAAACGGGAAAAAAAATTGTAATTATGATAAACAACCACAAGAAATCAATTGAATGGCTTACAAGGAGTCTTCAGAAGGAGGGCAGTCTTCATTTCCATTGGATTTTTTGGGCTAAAACAAACAAACAGTCAAAAATATAAACTAAGAACATGTCAATTCATCAAAGAATCAAAAGGGTACCGGAAAATATGAAAGACATTTTTACCCTTGAGGTGTGTAGGCCTGTGACTGAATGTAAACTGGCTCTCCGGGTAGCCATACCACTACTCTTTGCAGTCACTTCTGTAGACTTCACTCCAACAGAAGCTCTCCTATTAGCTGTATACAAACTAGAAGATCTTGATGAGCCAATTCCATTGGTTAACGTGGCTTTACCTTTTGATTCAATTCGTGGTTTCACAGGGTGCCCAGCAATGGCAGGCTTCATGGAATTAGGGTTTGGGGTTTTAGCAGGAAAAGATGAATTCTGAGACGGATTTGACTTAGGATTGCGAGAGGAAGAACTCGTACTAGGGATCTTTTTAACTACTTTCTTGTTCTTTGAAGTCGCGTCGTTTGTTGAAACTTTAATGGAGTTTTTCCCTCGAATGTCAGGCGATTCAATGATTTCGATCACTTCAACTCCTGTTGAATTAAGGGGCTCCTCGACTTTATTTGAGTTTTCTTCCTCTTTTTTCACATTCGGATCTTCATTAACAGCAACACCGCTTCCATCCTCTGAAACAACTTCGTTTCCAGACTCCATCCCTATCGAGAATTCAATGAAAACGGAAATCAAACGTCAGTTACTATTGCAGACGATGAATTATAGAATGATAAATCCGGCGAAAGTTGAACCAACTAACACTTCTATAATGTCTAATACAATGTTTGATCACTTAATTTTGGGATTTTAGTTGAACCCACAAAAATGATAAAGAATCTAAGCAACAAACACGTCGAACTTCACTGTTTAGGGCTTTGAAACACTGTAAAATAGATAGAGAAGATTTTGACGCGAGTGTTGTCGTTTTCTGCTTACACGATACGAAGAGCATCAAGAATCATTCCTTTTTCAACTAATTTCCAATCAGTACTACGAAATCAATAGATAAATATGCTAAGAACAAAAAAGATAAAAAGATCCAACAAAAACAAGAATCAAATACACTCGACCCAGAAGTCGAAACCGTCAAAATGGGATAAACTGGAGCAATTCTTTTTTCTGTGAAAAATGACGAACAATTAAGATGAAGTATAAGGGTGTACCTCGTTTGAGAAATTGAATAGTAGTCGGAGTCTCGGAGATGTGCTTTCAGAAGAATCTCAGAAGAAGTTTGTGTTGAAATTCAAATGATATGAATGAGTGAGTTGGCTACCGAGAGATTACAGGGAGCGTGGAGTGGATCATGGATGAAAATGGTGGGAATGGGGGTAAATTTTCACGCAAAGACGAAATTGCCACAAAAGCCACTAACCCCCCTGAGTTGTCGATTTTTTTATTATTATTTTATTTTTTCGGAGACAAAATAACGACAACTAAAATAAACGAAATATATTAATAGATTTTATTTTTGAAGTGATCTAAAGAAAACTTTATAAAAGAAAAGCCGGTTTTTTAAGTATTTGTAGTTTTGGTACGGCTGAAAATAGTTATTAATTTTTTGGGATTCGAATATTCATATAATTTCATATTTATGATATATAAAAAATATATTTTGTAATTATATAAAATATTGAATTTTGAAAACAAAAATATGTTATTTTTGATATCTTATTGAGATAAATTTATATTATAATGTAGATAAAAATAAAACCATCTTAATTATATATTTAAATTATATGAAACATTACGTAATAAAAGTTATAACAAAAAATCAAACTATACTAATTGAATTAGTTATAAAGATAAAACTAATGATATTAAATATTAAATTTAATAATATAAAATGTTAGTATTTATAATTTAATGAGTTGGTTAGGGAATAATTTGTCATGTGTCAAATAAATGAGGAATAAATCTTAAATGAGTGAATATAATTGATCATGTTTTAGGGTTGTTTGATAGCTGCTGATTGTGTTAGAATTCTAATTGAATCAATATATGATTATGTTTATGATGCTTGATTAATTTCTCTAGTTGATTGTGTTGAATTATAAAAATAACCTTCTATCTTGTTTGTAACTCAACATACATAATTAATCACTTATAGGGTACATTGGACTAAAATCATAACTAATCACCTATAGGATCCAAGGCTTCACCAATAATCATACATGAAAACTAAAGGAAACACAAAACACATACTATTAAATATTAATCTCAAATTTTGGTTTAAAAAACAACTTACAGCCATTCAATATCACAAAATACATCATTGTAATAAAAAAAGATCCCTATGTTGTAAAATGTTTTTCAGATTCTTCTTTCTCCATAGTCACCTCATTTTACTTCATTAATTTCTTAATATCCAGAACTACAGCCCAATCATCCTATTTCTGATGCTTGTTTGGATCAACAAGCTAGAGGTTTCTGTACCATAAGCTCCTACAACATCACTTCACCTATAATCATATATTGGACTAAAATCATACATGTGATGTCAAAAAATACATATTCTAGAGCACCGGGCAACATACAGACACAATATGTGGCAAGAATTCAAAAAATACATAAACATCAACATCTAATTTCGTAAATACATAAAAATTAGCATCTAATTACAGAAGATACATAAACATTAGCAAGAGAGATCATTCGAACGATAATCTAATTTCAGCATAGGAACAAATAAAATCTAATTTCAGCATGACATTTAATCTGATTTCAACAGAAGAAAAAAAAAACAAAAACAAAAACAGAAGAATGATTGTTTACCGCGAACTTGGTGAGATCATTAATTGCTAAATGGCGACAGCGAGAACAAGAGCAAGAAAGAGGTTTGATCGAGCGATCAGAGTTCTACTTTTGATGAAGAAGCTACAGTAGGCCTACAATCAAACAACAAATAACATAATTCTTTAAAATTACAACAATAATACGTACCAAAGTACATTCTTTCTGCTAGACTTTTGGATTAATGAACTGGATTCGTCAGTAGTGATATGCAAAACTAATTCGTGTTGTGATGTATTTCTTCGATTTGAATGAGAGCGGATTGTCCATCATGGAATCGAGAAGCTCAAACAACAATTAAGTGCCACAATCATGAAATCGATATAATGGGTATCATAGTATGTATTTGAAACTGGGGAATATCGTAAGAATATCAAAGCATGTTTGAGTCAACAATTGAATTGAAAAAAATAGAATAGCAGAGTAATCATGATAGTATTAGGTTGCCGGCAAAGAGTGCAAGAGTAATACCGACCAACGAAAGGGTGGCTAAGGATTGACGATGGCGGGAGGTCTGGTTCCAACAATCGACTAAGGAAAAAATGAAGGCGTAAGCTATCAGGGTTAAAAAGGGAATATGTGTTTCTAATTTCCAGCTAGCTCCTTGTTTTTTATGGACCGAGTAAGTGGTTTTGGTCAGAAATAGCCGACCAAGTAAGCCAAAGGTAGCATTATCAAACGGGTTGACTGCTGACTAAGTCAGCAGTCAGCTTTGACCGTCCCGAGAAAGTGCAAATCAAACAACCCCTTAGTATAAGTAATCAGGCAAATTTTTGTGTGTTGGGTATATATAAGTCAAATATTGATGAATATATTGTTATTAAGAAAGTATATCATTGTTACTAAGTTTGAGTTAATAATCGTAACACTAACTTATTGTAACCATTGGGATCCAGGTATTTACATTTCTAACCCTTAGTATGAAAGTTTATTGCAAAAATTGGTCCATTAATACGCTGGGCGTACATAAGAAGTACGCTTAGCGTACTAAGGATGGTTGATCGCGGAGGTTCGTCATGTACGTTGGACGTACCAAGTGGGTACGTGGGGCGTACATGATTGAAGACCAAAACCCTAATATACGGGCTTGAGACCTATATAAACGTCCTTAAGTCTTTTGGACCAAACCCTAATTAGCCTCCCATAGCCTCTTTTCGTCCCTTAACCTCATATTTCCTTGTGAGTGTGATTCTTAAGCTTAGAAAGTGTGTTGGTGACCATTTTAGAGAGAATTCAAAAAGGAGAAGGTAGTGATCAAGCCTTGGGTGTCATTAAGTTTCTAGATTCTGCATCTAGTTCATCTTGAGGAACTTCTGGAGGTATAAAGTCATGAACTTGTCATATCTTTTGATTGTTTGAGCTAGGGTTTTGTTATGGAGTTCCTTTCTTGCTTTTGGACCTTCTCTAGTGAGTTGAGCAACTCTAGATATTAGGGTTGCTAGATCTAAGCTCCTTGAGCATGTTTGATGCATAAAGGTTCCATCTTAAAGGTTATTTTGACTCCATGCATAAGTTAGAGATCTTAAATGAGGTCTTAATGATAAGAATGAAGTATTGGGGTTACTCATGACATGCAAGTGCATAAAGTGTCCAACTTTATCCCCTAGGACATCTTAATGGACTCATATCTAAAGTAGGACATTGAAATCCCAAGTATTAAGTACTTAATGGTCGATTGATGCATGTCCTGCTTGTACACCGTGCGTAATATTGTGTACACAACGCGTACAGCTTAAGGTTCTGTTACGCTGAGTGTACTAGAGTGGTACACAGGGCGTACGCACTCTAGTTGGGTCTGGGCTTTGTGTGGGCTTGTAAGCTCATTGGGCCTTATTTAGTTTTGGGCCTGGTCCCATTTAGAGTTTTTGGGATGATATTTTGATTTGGGCCATAGTTGTTTTGGTTGGGTCTTAGTGGGCCATGTGTTCCATTATTGGCTTTTATCTTGGATCTTAGGCCCAGTAGCAAATGGAAGACTTTTAGGCCACTATGGAAGGACTTAGGCTTAGGTGTTTAGAATCTTTGATTAGGTTGTGTTATAATCCTAATTTAGGGTTAAATGTATCATTGTTTAGTGTGTGGTTTTGGACTGTTAGGCGAGCAGCTTTTGTGTTCAGCAGACTGAGGTGAGTCTTCTCATTACACTCATGGGTCGAAGGCACCAAGACCGACCTATTAATTGATATGAGATGTTTAGTAATGGAGCATGAAATAGTTTGCTATTTGATATATATATATATATATATATATATATATATATATATATATATATATATATGGACTTATGTGAAGACCATGGGAGGAGTCCATGAAACTTGGCAAGACCATGGGAGGAGCCTATGTATCGTGGATATAAGCCCATGGTGGTAGCCCATGGCATTCCAAATGAAGACCATGAAGGGAGTCCATGGCAAACTTATATGTATGTATGCATGACATTATGTGATTATATGTTTCATGTGCTTTGGGAAACTCACTAAGCGTGTGCTTGCATTTTTGTTGGGTGTTTCAGGTACTTCTAGTTCTAAGGGCAAGTGCCCGGCTTGATGGCGCAGTGTGCATTCTCCAGTATTTTCACATTTAGTTTTGATAGTCTGATCTTTTTAAAACACTATGGTTATGTAATGGGATTTTTGGAAACAATTTTGGTTGGTATTTATGATTATAAAAGTTAAAATTTTCTGTAAAATTTAGGTTGTTACAAGTTAGTATTAGAGCCTTAGTTTGAGAGATTCGGGAACACTCTTGGGTATGTCAAAACTCAAACTGGGGAAATGGTAAAAAAAATTAAAGAAACCAAAAATTAAAATTTTCTTGAACATGGTTTTTGTAAGAAAGAGGGGAGAGTGGAATGCGCGTAATCGACCCAGCTCAAGTAAGTGTTCCCAATGTTTTAGCCATGCTATAGTAATATGGAAATTAATGTTGAATGGATTATTTGCTAAGTGTATGCTTTCAAAGTTGTACATACTTAGGATTGAATAGCCTTATAATGAAGGAATCTTCCTTATTCCTTTTCCTTGTCTGGTTATGGTTTAGGGTTAAAGCTTTATTTGACAGTCTATGTAATTCTCTTTGTGTATAACTTGCATGCATAGAGCAACCTACTATGATTGATTTGAGTTTCCGGCTTAATGAGGATTGAGAAATCCTAGGATAGTCTAGTATCTAAGTTAGTGTTGTGCTTATGGGTCATGATTGGTGGTTAGGTGAATTAGGGATATCAGGTATGGCCTTGGGGAAGGTACAGGTAGGTAAGGGAGGTAGTATTGGGCCCGTACTACTAAAAGCATAGGTGTAACATCCGTGATTTGGGGTAATGCAAATTATTTATTTTCTTTGTAATTAATTTTTGGGCCATGATATAAATAATTGATTATTGAGTTGGGCCTTAGTGAGTGGTTCATCATGATTGGAATGTAGGTACGTTGGGCGTAAGCTTGGCGTATGCGGGGCATAGTGCAACATTGGATGCAGGGGGTTCATGCGCGTACGCGCAGTGCACCAAGGAGTAC